GACAGACAGATAGATAGATAGATAGATAGATAGATAGATAGATAGATAGATAGATAGATAGATAGATAGATAGATAGATAGATAGATAGATAGACAGATTTCGGTGTACTCACGACTGCTGCTGACTGTGGTAGAGTTGAGCAGGCTCGTACATGTCACAGCCTGGGGAGTTCTCGCTAAGATCCTCTGTGTCCAAGTCCAACAGATTACACAGTGTCTCCGAATACCCCGACATGGTTGCAAAGTCGGTTTTTTCCCTGCTTTATTTTAGTTTTATTTTTCGTTGTTGTTTTGTGTGTGGGTGGGTTTGTTTTGGGTTGTTTTGTTTTGGTTTTGGTTTTGTTTTGTTTGTGTGTTGCTGTTATTTTTTGTTTTGTTTTTTTGTGGGGTGTTATTTGTACGGTTTGTTTTGTTTGTTTGTTTGTTTGGGGTTTGTTGTTTGTTTGTTGCTGTTTTGTTTTGTTGTTGTTGTTTTGTTTTTGTTTGTTTTGGGTTATTGTTGAAGTTGTTGGGTTTTTTTTTGTTGTTTTGTTGTTGTTGTTGTTGTTGTTTTGTTGTTGTTGGGGTTTGGGGGGGGGGTAATGTATAGTCTATCTGAAGTAAAATGTATTATAAAATACAAGTTATTTAACAATACAGCTGCTATCAGAGTTTTGGCTCATTTTTCACAGTTGCTCTTCCATAAGATTTGTTTTTGGAAGTGGACTCTATCATACAACAAACATATCGCCATAAAAAAGGGTTTGTTCATATTTTAGCTTGTATTATCTTTATTACCAAACAGTATTTCCAGTACGATCACCACAGAGCATGGAGTAGCAGAAATAACCACTGGGAAAAACGACATATGATCACAAAGTATTGTCATTACCCAACTTGGTTCTTTCGATTTCGATACAATCGTTTCAAGACACATCACAATCTCTCGTGACTTATCATGTCTAATACCGATGCAGATGTGAGTCCACACTGGAGGATTGAATCGCTGTAAAACAATCTCAGGTCAAAATGATTTATGTAAACAACCACCATCTCAAATACTTTATAAACAGGAACGTGTGTTCAAGCGAGTCACATCCTCCTTCAGTTTTCAGTACAGAATGTACTCAGTCTTTATGCCTCACATCCAGGTGGGGCAATTCTTGATAAAATTCTATTGTACTATAAGTGTTTAAGAAACATCATCGCGGTTGTGTCGACATACTTGACGTACAGCACAGTTTGTTTGTTTGTTTGTTTGTTTATTTGTTTTCGTTTCCTTGCTTTTTACTGTTAAGGCTATGGAAGACAAACAGACACATGTATACATATATATGAGAAAGCGATATCATGCCTATTCCAGCCTACAAAAAAATGTTGAACGCGAAAACAAAGCTCTTAAGTGCTGCAAAAATCAAGTTTAAGATATTAACCATGGTGTAAAAAAGGGGGCATCTTCTAACTCATAGATTCTAATCTTTGTTTCTACCTACTTCGGCCTGGTATGCATTATGAAATAAGATACAAACTTGTTTGCTTTTGTCAAAATTCACCCTGCCTATCTATCGATCTATCTATTGATCTATCTATCTACCTGCCTGCCTGCCTGCCTGCCTGCCTGCCTGCCTGCCTGCCTGCCTGCCTGCCTGCCTGCCTGCCTGCCTGCCTGCCTGCCTGCCCACCCGTCGGTCTGTCAATCTATCTATCTGTATTCTTTCCAAATTATCATGATCTATGTCTCTGTTTATATCCATCAAGTATTTCTGCAAAGCCATTTAGTTGTGCCTTAAATTCCCCCACCTCCTATCCTACCTGACTCTCTCATTAACCCAAAAATTAAAATACGTCCAATCATTGCGTCACGGTACCGGTACGCAAAAGCAGTCATACCATACACACATTCCTGTCAAATTCAACCGTGAAACAGCACAACTCTCTATCTCGCACTGTGCCCGAGTCCTCTCGAGTCAAGGCCCGTACACTCCCATGGCCAAAGACCCTTCTGACTGTCGCTAGAGACTCCCCCACTTTAATAAAGCCCAGCGCCCGCGCCGTCCACGAGCTGGAAGTGAGCGGCTGGCGCAACCTCCGAATTTTTCTACAATTATTCTGTCCAAACATTTCTCGCTCACTTAACGTTTCGAGTCTGATAGGCCCAAAACGCGGCGTATGGAGAATGAATAAGACTCCAGAAGGAGGGCATAACTGCGCTTGACAATCCTATTTCGAGGACAATTGAGTTCCGGCGGATGTCGTGGCCAACTGGCTGTGGTAATTATTCCGCGGGAACTACCCGCTCCAGGCGTGAGCGAGACAGCGCGCGGCTAAGTGATGCAAAGCTCTGCTAAGCACCTCTCAGCAAGGCGTCGCGTGGATTTACATCCCACACTTCCTCTAACACAACTAATCTACGGACGAGGTTATAGCTAGCCCCCATTAAGGCCTTGTTGTCATCGACACTCTTGTTAGCACGAAGCTTTTTTCTAACATTTAATTGGGATTTTTACCATGAAACAAAGTTCCATGGAGAGAGGACAAGGATAGGAGTGTATGGGTGTCATGAAGTCACGTTGAGCCTAACAGTCTTTTCAATTGTATGCTCGAGTTAGCAACTCCGACACAAGAGTGCCTTGTCCCCCTATCCAAGACCTGGGGGCTCATACTGCGAGCGGACAAGCGAGGGTGTTAACGGGACCGGTGGCACTCGAAAAGCTCAGCTCTGATCGGCCGGCGATGTCCGACATGACACAGGCACGCGTTCATCGTGCTGGAGGCGCACAGTGCACACACGTGCAGCGTGCAGTCAGTATTGTGACAGAGACAATACGTTCATCTGACCGCTGGCCACTGCTTGGAGGGAACAAAGCTGAACCCGAGGCACGCTGCCCTCATTAGGAGAAAAAATTGTGCCACAGTTTAGTTGCGTATCCTTTGCTCCCGGCTATGGAGATGAAGATCATTCTTTTACGCTTGAATCTTCTTGTTTGATTTTGTTTTGAAAAGGAAGAACGGGGAGGGGGAGAACACATAAAGGTCGACTCCCACTTAATCCGTGTTTGTTATTTCGGACTGATATCGTGTTTCTATTCAGCACTAATAATCAATTGGCTCTTTGATGAAGTACGTCAAGTGTACCTTTTAAGTCATCGGCAACTTCACAGGTGGACCTACTTACTTTTGCACTAGTTGCCCCCCCCAAAACAAACAAACAAATAAACAAACATTAAAAATCTTTATAAATATTTTTTAAACAACAGAAATTCACGAATGTAATTTATAATCTAAATTGATAGCTGTGCAGAATCCCAATCATCCCAAGGAGCGAGTTTTAGTTGTTGGATTTGTTGTTTTCCTTTGTTTGTTTGTTTGTTGTTGTTGTTGTTGTTGTTTGGTGTGGGTTGTTTTTTAATTCAAGCTCCAAATTCCCTTAATCTCCAGGCAGGGAAAAACGATGCCATCATTACATGGAGCTTTCCTTGTACATGTAGCATCAAATTAGGATTGCCTGCATCACAGCCTGGCATTGTACCAAATAAGGTAACCAAGCAGCAACACGACATTTAGAGACAAACAAACATGAGAAAAAAAGAAACAGAAGAATAGAGACAAACAATCACAATTTATTTAATGAAAAAATATAAGATACAAATCTCACAGGGAATCTAAAATTGAATTTAGGTAAGCTCAGTCATAAGTCATTATTGTACAGGAATATTATTTTCCCGTCGCACTTGATGTACATGTGTCCGCAAAATATAATACACAGATCCATATCAAAACAAAATCATGCTGCGATAGACGATGGTAAGAGTACCTCACAACACAGAATAAAACATTCGAGGGAGGAAATGAATCAAGACCCAGTGGACTCAGGCTCTCGTCAATTTTTGGGCATGTGGAGTTATTGGTATCGCCTTAAAGCTTGTTCATATGCCTTGCTTTAGATGAAAAGTCGAGATATTTGTAATTGAAAGAGGTGATGGTCGCCCGGTTTCAGAGGTAAAATTAGCGAGAAAATGGCAGCCAAAGTTTGGTTATTTACATCGTCTAAGAGTCCATGAAAACTGACAATTTATCTTTTTTTTGTTGTTCCTGTAATCAACATGTTTTAAATCACACAGTTATTTCAACAAGCTCCATGATCCAGTCCTAGTGAGACAATCTTTGATGATCGCATGATGACGCATTAAATAAACGATAGCGATTAACTAATATCAAATCATACTTTGGGGTGTAGAACTTCGTCCAAACATGGACTGCCGATATAAAAAAATATGAAAAAGAGTATCGAAAAAACATTTCAATAAATTTCACTTTAACTCATTAATAATATACTGTACACACCACGCCACAACCAGACCCACCCCACCCTACAACATCCGATCCCCACTTCACCTCACCCTACCACAAGTGTCCCCAATCCACCCCATCCCACCTCCCCCTAACCAGACCACACGCCATCCCACCACACCTGACCCTAATCCACCCCACACCCCAACCCATCCCGCCACACCCCACAACACGTCATCCCACCCCACCCCACCACACCACATCCCACCCCACCGAACCCCACCACACCACATCACACCCTATCCCACCACACCCCATCACACCCAAACCCCACCGCACTCCACCCCAACACACCACACCACACCACACCCCATCCCACCACACCATACCCCACCCCACACCCATCCCACCACACACCAGGAAGTCCACTGTCTGTAAATTGTAAGTCTGTGCCTTCAAGCCTCACGTCGTGTCATCGCCTGCCGTAGGGAACTGGCGACTGGCCTCGTACGGCGTCAAGTTGTGTATGCTGCGGACGTGTCTGTTCCTGCTGCCGCTCTGTGTGAAGGTGGCCGAGCAGAGCGGACAGTTGAACAGTTTTAGCGGGTTCGTGTGGTCAGTCGCTTCATGCTTCACAAGGTCTTCCCGGCTGTCGAAAAGTCGGTGACACGGTCGGCACACGAAGGGAATGCTGGACGCCTGAAGTGCGCGGTAGTGCCCTGTGTAAGGAAACATGTGCATAAAAGTAGACTTATAACACAAACATGATAAATCGTACTACAAAAGAATATCTGGATACAAAGCAAGAGGAATGCCAAGGAAGACCTGGATCGAGGGTGTGAAGGATACCCTGAAAACACACAACATTGCACCCAGCCAGGCCATCCAGCTTGCTAGAGACAGAAAGCTCTTTCTCCCCGCAACGCCCTAGAGGTAAAAGAGGAAGGATAAAGTAAGGTAAAAAAA